TAAAAATGGGTGCCCAAATGCCCATTTCGGATTCTCATTGCTAACTCATGCTCAGTTTGCTCAATAGCTGCTTTCGAGTAACTCTCCGCACCACGGAAAAAGCTGTAATCTATCTTACAGTCGGAAATCAAATCGGAGAGCACAACGAGCGTAAAAATGGGCTTACATAAACCAAAAACACATTAAAGGGTATTAAACCATAGTACTAAACAAGTAGCGCTCAAACACCACGAAGTGAAACAGTTAATGATGTAGGAGAGTTAGGCAATGGATATGCAAAAACAGACAAATCAGTCACAAGTCGGTTTTCTACTTAAAATTTGTCACGTCAGTTCCGGTGCACTCTCTTGGTGACAAATCTCTAATGAGTGAAAACCTGTAAAAGAATCAAGAAGAACAGAAACAGTAGATTAAAACGTGGGTTAAAACGTATGAAGGGTGTGCTTTTGAAAGATAGCCAACAAGGTTGTTATTTTACCTTTTCTCGACGAAGGTCTATTGAAAAAACGGAAAGAAAGCATGTGAGCTGCAGGAAGAAATTCACTGTCAGAGCAACAGCTGCGTACAACGAAAACGTCCTTACGGCCGGCATTTGCGCAAATCCACCTACAAGGACAGCGGCAAGTCAGTGGCGATTTGTACGAACAAAAAAGGTACCAAGAAAAAAACAAAAACATTCGGCAAAGGTTGATAAAAACATTGATGGTAACACTGCCGCCGATACTTGACCGACTGTGTCATCGACATCCGCAGGTGATTTCGGAAAATACCGCTAAAATTTTAATCTATATTCAAGATAGATAACAGCTGCATGGCTTTTAACGTGCATGTGAATCAGTTTGAAAATAAATGACAATGAGACTGACAACGAAAATATGCAAAATAAATATTAAAAGATAACTTGCTTTTCGAAGAATCTTTTCAATAAGAGTGCTCCAGTAGAGAAACATTAGCTTTATACAGAAGTGGCGGTCACTAGTGCGATTCTAGATGATCATCTGCAGCCAAACGAAAAGCTTATTTCAACAGCTGTGAAGAGCGTTATCTTCAACTCAGACCGTAGACACGATAATGTCTTTTTAGTGGATAAACAGGAACGATGATTCCTGAACTTTGCCAAATCCTTTTCAAATTCAGGTTCATGTTCAAAGTAGCCTTTTCGACACAAATTACCCTTAAACAAATAATGAAACCTGAGACCCTGATAGGTATTACTCTATCAACCGAATGTTTCAGGTTAATGAAAAGTCTTACTGGATACCACATGTGATCTCACATTCCGATCGTCGCCTAGTTTGCAAGGCATGAAAAAAATCCGGTTTTCCTATTTCATCGCGCTTAAACCTTTATCTGCACTTGCGCCAAATTCATTATTCGCGCTGAATTAGTTCTCCATATTGGCGACCAAAGGTGGTCAGCACTGTCCGTTGTGAATCGATGGACAACATCCGTTGCGAATAATACATAAGTGTTCATTATCATTACCACAGACTTGTTTACTTCGCAGAGTCAAAGATTAATAATATGCCCGACGTTCCGACCACGCTCCATTCGTCCGTAGCGTATCATTCACACAAATTATCAACGAACAACGATTAAAATTTCATTAAATCTTAAAATTCCTATCGCTGTACGTGCACGATATCGGCGAAACGTGGGGTAAATTATTAATAATTTGACTATGTGGAGTAAACTCGCTTGTGCTAACGGTTAAGAATTGTTCCCGCATAAAAGAATCTATTTAAACTAGTAGCCAAATGGTAGAAATCTAAGGGTAGAAATGCGGAATCACCCTGGTTTGGTTCATCCAAAGCAAAATGAAAGTAAATAACGCTGACCCAGAAATTCAGACCGATTTATTGCGAAAGATAAGAAGCATCGTCTAGTTCAATAGCCATAGACACAAATTCAGCATGTAAAAACAATTTACTGCAGAAGTGGCGGGAAGATATAAATACACTTTTTACTCTGTCCTGATGGATTACGTCACTGCTGTTCGAAAGGCTAGCTCGTCAGTAATATCCCTCACGTCGCACCTTACGTGCAATAATTGAAAGAGATTTCTTTAAAATATCTATGTTCACTGCACTTTATATTTTAACTTCCTCTCTAACAGCTAGCAGTGATGGGTAGAAATTACCTGATAAGTTCGCACAAGCATAAATACGTTATCGACTCCAACGGCGAGAACGAGAAAAGGCATGACTTCGATGGCTATGAGTGTAGCCGGGAGGCCGAACAGTGCGAAGATACCAACGGAGCTGGTGATGCTTATGAAGATTATGATAACACCGGCAAGTCCCAAAAGAATTTTTGAGCGTACCTACGAGAAGGTCATAACACGTAAACGAGGACGCAAAACAAATTGAGAACCGCATACAAGAAGATGAAATAGACTGCAGCAAATACTGCCGCGTGGTTGCGTGCTGTAACTTCCAAGAAAGACTGCGACATAGACAAACATCACTGAGTAGCTGAGCAGCACGGTTGGCAAACTTGAGTGGCTCTGGCTATCAATTTCAGTTTCGATCGAGCTTTCAGTGTTAAACGCAACCGTTAGGTTGGCGCTGCGGAACATGGAAAGCATCTGAACAAGTCTGAAATCAGATTTGCATTATTTACTAGAAAACAGCTAATTAACGTCACCTGCATTCCCACAATTTTGCGTCGCCATTCAGAAGTGGATTGATATGGTTATTGACGATGATAGTAATGACCAAGGCACTCGCCAACAAATACTCTTCATCTAAATTTTCGAATACAGAACATGATTCAATCATACGGTAGAGCTATTTGTTAGCCTTCATGGTTCTCACCAGAATTACAATGCAAATAATTTTATTAAAGATTACTAATATGAGAATGGTTACAAATGTGGTTAATGTGTTTAAAAAATTGACATCAAAGACCTAAGCAAAGATGACGAAGATACCAGTCAATAACTGAGTCGCCACCAACTCTGAAAAAAAGAGACAGACGTGACGCCATTACAGCACGTCGAATAAGGTTCCATGGAAACGCTGCCGAGAGTATGAGATCACAATTGGAACAACTGGAAATTGGAACATCTCATTCAAAGGGAAAGAGTAGGAGCTAGTTTACGAGGCCATAACGTATAAATTGGATATAGTCAACGAAATGCCACGGCTTAAATTTTTTAACCCCCTGCGAGCGGAAGCTTTCTACTAGATGTCGAACGACTGGCACTCAGGCCAGTCTTAGTGTTTCCTGGCTGAAAGTCATCGAATGGAAGTTTATCAACGGAACATGTCGGGTAGCTGACTTAGTTTCCAACAGATAATAGTTTTCACCTTGCTACAGTTCTGTGTGCCCTTTTTTGGCTGAGGCAGAAGGCGACTGAGACGCTGGAGACACTGACGCTTCTGCCACCACAACCAGAAAGAATAAACAGACATCGAACCTGGCTGGCTGACAGCTAGCATGATCGGGTGAAACTGCGATAATCACGTGTTTCTGAGTAGCGAAGCCGCGAAATAAGGAAGGTGAAGCCACTTGGATAACTTCAGTCTAACCGACCACTAATCAGCGCGAATCGCACTGGCTGCAAGAAGCCCGCCATTCTTCACGATTTCGAGCCCTTGTTCTCGAAGCGCGACTTTTTCGGCTACAGATATATTCTTTCCATCGTCAGGGTGGGCGACCAAGCGGCCTAGCCAGTCCGTGGAAGTACGAGTCGATGATCATCGAAGACCATCTCCTGTCAGTGAACCCGGTTAAGTGCCGGTACACGGTAGCTTCTCTTTTCTGCTTCGACGACATCTTTCACTTCGGCCCACTCTCTGGCCATTATTTTTGGGAAGTGGTCGCTAGGTATGATTCCCGATATTCCTCTTTCGATGGCTCTCTCGGTGACAAACACCTAGGGCTCTTCGGCTTTAGCGAGTGACCAGATCTCACAGCCACACCTTGCTAACAGGCGAGGGCTGTTAAACAAGGGTTTCTTTCCTGATATTGCCGAAGAGGACATCCTTGAAGGAATGGAATGCGTGCCACTCATCCTCTCTTTCTCCGTTGAATCTCTTCAGCCTGATCACGCCGCATTTTGATCTCTTGACCCAAGTAAATGTATTTCTTCGATTGTTTCGCAGTTTAATCTTACCTGAGCCTTCGACATCGCAAGAACTTCGCCTTTAACTGACTGATTAGCAGTCCGACTTCTGCATTAATTTTTTGAGTTTTAGCAGCATGTCTTGTAGCTGAATGGTGTTTT